CAGTACCTGAGCGTGCGGGCGCTTCTGGCGGATATCCATGACCGGGTGCACCAGTACGAGGGAGGGAGGGAGGGCGGGAGAGGGGCTGGGGGAAAGGTGGTGTGACTGGCGCCTTATCATCTTTTCTCTGTGATGGCGTTCTTGTCGCAGCCCTTTGGTGCGAATGCATTCTTTCTTTGCCCATGTCTACAACCCCTTCGCTGCTCATTTTTTAATCCTTGTCCCTCCTACCCTTCACTTCCTTCCCATAGGGGCATGACGGCCATCCTCAAGAAACACATCTTCGTGGGCGTGGTGGACGACGTCTTCTCTCTGATTCAACACGACACCAAGCTACTCCTTGTCCGCCATGTCGAGCTTTGCAAGGAACTTTTCTACCAGCTGGCCGTCCGCCGCTTTGCCTGCATGCCACGGTCTGTGCCCCTTCTGTCTGCCTGTGGGCCCGGCTTTACTCTCATCCCTTGCCTCCTTTTTCACCACCTCATGTCCTGTTTTTCCCTCCTCTTTCACACCCCTGGCGCAGCCTTTCTCTGGCCAGCAATCCTGTGCCCCTCCGCTCCGCTCTTCGTGTCGCCCTCGACCTGCCCGAGATGGAGTGGAAGGAGGGCTACGGCTCCAAGGACGAGGTACGCCCCGCTCTCTCCCCGCCCTCCTTCTATACGCACCGATCCTCCTCATCTGATCCTCGTTGCCTCCTTCTCTCTCCTCATCCGGCTCCTTCTCATTTCCCCTCAAGCTTGCCGCAAGGGCGTGCCAGGTCTTAGTCGCCCGGGCCGGCATGCTCGATGAATATTTCAGGATCGGCTTTGACACCGCGGCGGACGAGGGGCACGGGGCTCTCATCTCCCTCCCCGATCTCCTCCCTTCCTATACCCCGTCCCCTGCGGCCCTTCCTCTTTTCCTTCTTCGACTTGCCACCGAGGTGGACTGGGAGGAGGAGCAGCCCTGCTTCGAGGGTGTGGCCACGGAGCTTGGTTTGTTCTACAGCGATTTGTCTGTTCATTACGAAGAGGGGGTGGAGGAGGAGAGAGGAAAGGCGGAGGAAAGGGACGAGGAAGAGGTAGTGATTCTTGGGGTTGAAGGTGGGAAAGGGTTGAGAGGCGGGAGCACAAAGCGAGTAGAAAAGGAGATGGAGAAAATGGAAGGAGAAACGGGGCCCGTCCCCAAGAAATATGAGTACCTGCTGCAACACGTCCTGTTCCCCGCCTTCCGTGCTGTCTTTCTACCTCCGCGCGAAGTAGCGGGAGCGGAAGCACAAGTGGTGGTTCAAATCGCAGCCTTGGAGCAACTTTATAGGGTTTTCGAGCGGTGTTGAGGGAGAAGGTGCTGGAAATCGGAGAGGGTACCGCGATGTACCATCTTGTGATATAGGCCGCGTATCAGTCTTTTCAAAAGCAACACAAATGAAACAGACACGTAATAACACGAGAACGAAAATTTGAATGATCAGGCTGACTATGAGGATGGTACAATTTTGGCACCAGGTATCTTTTTATTTTCATATAATACAACCTTAATTGACTTCTTCGTATCGGGTCTTGCTTGATCAAGAGCCCTCCTTAGCGGAGATGAAACTGTTTATGAATTCTTGATGATTCAATTAAGTATCGTGGATGGTTAGCAAATAGAGCGCCCATTGTGTGCTCAAAATGACCAGCACATCTAAGCAGGGCGGGGAACGGCAGTTGTAAACCAGCAGTCGTGCCCACAAACGGACTACGCGCGTTGATATTTACCCACCATTTACATCAGCGAAACACATGACAAGTTTTCATCGATGACACTCCAATTCGAGGAAACACTCATGGCTCCCCATCGGCCATACCTTTTAAGTAGTGCCATACTTACGTGACGGTGGACGCTGCCTGTCTCACACACACGGATTTTAAAGCTAAGAGGAAGTCATTTGATGGGTAGTTTGGAAGTAAGGTGTACCGCAGTCAACACATCATTGAGCACTTGAAAGGGCTGAACTGGTTGTAATATATCTGTCTGGCATGTAGCATTCCTTGCATCTCTCGCTTCCATGCTGGTCAACAGCGGGGGAAAACGAGTGGTACGTAAGACAATCAAGTCGAAATCGAGGTCATTTCGATTACTAGTCAGATCATACCCTTGCAATTAGATGTTGTGGGACATAAGAATAACATCTCTACAATCAAGCAGCTGGAAAAAAGCAAATTTAGGAGCTTGCGAGAAGCCAGGATACTTTGTCAATCGACAAGGGCAACGGCCGGTAACGGCGATTCGAAATCTGCGACGTCTTCAAATTCTCGTTCAAACTATGCGGTTTCTTGCCCTCTCCCGTGCAGGACCAACAGCATGCATTGCTTTCCAGGGATTCTGGTGATTCAGGCATTATTTATGCTGCTTCTTGACCTTCCTGTAAGCTCCTCCCATGTTTCGACGGAAAGTTGCAGAGCATTGCTTCGGCGCTCCATCACCGCTTTCTTCTACCTGTGGTATGGGGTCCCTGCACATGATAACGGAAGATATTTGCATTGGGACCATTCTGTTCTGCCTCATTGGACATCCTCAACCAATGAAAAATTTGAAGCCATGATAAACAAGCACCACAATCCTGAATTGGGCGACATACATGCACCGTTTTTCCCCGCGCGTGGCTTGTACAGCAGTCGAGACCCGCATGTACTCCGTCATCAATTTCGGGAGATGCATGATGCAGGAATCACCTTGGTGGCTTTGTCCTGGTGGGGACGACCATCACCGACGGCAGCGGACTCGCAGGGTGTGAATACTGACGATGCCTTGCCTATTGTCCTGGCGGCCGCGGAAGAAGTGCGGCAAGAAAAGGGAAGAGGTGACCTGTATATTACCATGCACTTAGAGCCCTATCCTGGACGAACGATCAGCACCATAAAAGACGATTTGGCCTACATTTATGAGCATTACGCTCACTTTTCTGCTTTCCTGCCTATCTTTTACGTGTACGATTCCTATCATATCCCTCCCGAGGAGTGGGCCTTGTTACTACAGCCCTGGGGCAAGGAGTCTGTGCGAGATACGCCTTTAGACGGCTTATTCATAGGATTATGGCTCGAAAGAGATCATGGCCAGGCGCTTGTCGACGGTGGCTTCGACGGAATGTACACTTACTTCGCTTCTGTCTCCTTCTCGTTCGGGTCAACCCTTGCAAACTGGGATGACATGGCAGCCTTTTGTCGTCGGCAAGGGGAACTAGGAGGGAAGGGAGGGGAGAAGCAAGTAGGAAAGAGGCTTTTTTTGTCCGTTTTGAGTGTGGGCCCGGGATATGATGACGAGAAGATTCGGCCGTGGAATAAGCACAACACGAAGCCAAGGGAGGGCTTGGACTACATGGATCGCATGCTCGAGGCAGCGCGTGAAGCCAGGCCTGACGCCATTTCCATCACAAGTTACAATGAATGGGGTGAAGGCACGCAGATTGAAGCGGCAAAAGTGGGAGAATGGCGATGCGAAGGTAACTGGGAAGGAAACTCGACGCACCTAGCGGTGAGACCGTACGTGTATCAGGAGTATAAAGGGGGGGATCCTTATTTATACCTGAACAACGTCAAATTGTGGAGAGAACTCTTATGGGGTATGGCTGCGACGGAAGATGAGCAGACAATAAATGATAAAGATGAATTTTGAAAGAGAAATGCTGATGTCCAAGCTCATCGGTGCTTTTTGTAAACTATTAAGCAGTCAGCATCTTTGTATCGCTGAGGGATGACAAGAACTTGAAACTTTTACGCCATTTTATGACATGCAATTGAAATGTAGAACCGGTTTTACCTCTACAAATGTCTCAGAGCCGAACAGCCCATCACTATGAAGAGGGCAACAAAAATTCGATCACGTCCAAGCTTCGCAAATAGCTTGATAGTTGTAAATTTCATTTTACCTGTAAAACGGCTTAAACATTAGGCTGTTATAAATCGATCCTTTTCTTTTGCCAAAGCTATGTGATGTGGTATGTTTCGATTCAGAAATTCTCCCTCACACTGCCTGTCTATTTTACATTTCGCCAGGATTCTACGCCTCTTGTGGTATAAAATCAAAGCTTAGAGAATGTGTACAGGGTTCAGCCATTTGTCAGTATCTATCGCGCTATCCATGGCCTTGACACGCGGGCACGGCTGCATTGGACAAATAAATGCTTTGGACTGTAAGGGATGGGGGGAGGTTAGCCTCAAATGGTTGAAGTTCGCACTTGTTCTCTATCTACGTCGTGCCCCGTCATTGGTCTCGTGCCGCTCCGCTTCTCAGTTATTTGCCTCATAAAACAATCGCGACACGTACCTCTTCTACAGAGCGCAGCGCATGGTCCTGTACTACGAATGGGGCAGCACCACGGAGGCTTTGGCTGATAATGATTTACGCACAGCTGTCCGCAGTGTATTTGATAGACTCGGCGAGAAAAAAAAGGTTCTTGTCGTGCCTCCAGATTTTACACGATTTAACTCCAAAGCAGGACTATTGACGCAGCACACCTATGAGTATTATGGCGAGGCACTAAAAGACATCCTTCCTGCTTTGGGGACGCATGATCCCGTATCAGGCCACCAGCGTGAGCGCATGTTCGGCGCGGTGCCTGAAAGCCTCTTCCGCATTCATGACTGGCGCAACGACGTCATCACCATCGGGCATGTACCTGCAGACATGGTGCGGGCCGCGAGCGATGGCAAGTTGGACCAACCGTGGCCGGCGCAACTGAACAAACTGATGGTCGAAGGAGGGCATGATCTCATCCTCTCTATCGGGCAAGTGGTGCCCCATGAGGTCCTCGGCATGGCGAACTACAACAAAAACCTATTTGTGGGAATTGGCGGGGCGGAAGCCATTAATTTAAGCCATTTCATTGGGGCCGTATACGGTATGGAGAGGATGATGGGCGTGGCTGACAATCCCTTGCGGCGCGTCCTGAACCACGCCTCGGAACAATTTCTGGCCGGGGTCTATCCGCTGATATACATCCTCACCGTCATCGGGCCTTCCGCCGAGGACCCTCGAGTCCTCCGAACCCGTGGCCTGTACATCGGGGACGATGCGGAATGCTTTTTCAAAGCCGCCGCCCTCTCCATTCAGGTAAATTTTACGCTCTTGGAGAAACCGGTCAGGAAAGTGGTGGCATTCTTGGACAAGGAGGAGTTTCAATCCACCTGGTTAGGTAACAAGGCCATTTATCGTACCCGGATGTTGATTGAGGACGGCGGGGAGCTCCTGGTGCTGGCTCCTGGCGTGAGAAAATTTGGCGAAGACGAAGCCATCGACGCCCTCATACGGTGAGTGCGGTGGCCGGGGGCCGTAAAAGGCGTCTCGAGGGCTCGTGGAGGGAAGGACCGCCAGAGCTAGCGTCAAGTGGCATTGCGTGTAGTCTCTAGTACCCTGATGCGAAACGGCCAAGCTGGGGATGGTATTGGCCTCGTTGCTCTATTTTCCACCGCCGGGGCAGGACACCTTCTGCTCGATGTTACTCCCTTTTTCGGAATACAAAATTTATCTGGATCAAAATCTGACTCAATTTTTCCCATGCCCCCCTGTACTGTTTCCGTTTCTTTCTCTCAAGGAAATACGGGTACCGCACTACTCCCGAGCTGATGGCCTTCCTGGACGGCAACGACGAGCTCCGGGGCAGCCTCTCCGCCATCGCCCACCTTGTGCACGGTTCCAGCGAAAACCGTTTCAAAATAACGTACGCCACCGACCCGAGCCAGGGTGGATTAACGAAGGAGGAGGTGGAGGGAGTGGGGTACGCGTGGCGGGACTATCGAGAAGCGATCCGAGAATTCGATCCGCAGACGATGACGGCGGGTGTCAATCGTGTCCAAAAGAAAAGGGAGGAGGGAAGCGAAGGGAGGAAGGAGGAGGAGGACGAGGTGTACTTTGTGCAGGCCCCTGCGCTAGGTCTGTGGGCGGCGAAGACTAGATTCCAACGCGAACTAGGACAGGAGGGAAGGAACGAGGGAGGGGCGGAGGGAGGGGCGGAGGGAGGGGCGGAGGGAGGGGCGGAGGGAGCCACGAGGAAGGTGGGGGAAGGCCCAAGCGGCGCAGTATCACCGACGCGCGAGCCGCCATCGAAACGCTCCAAAGGGCTGGACGACGCAGGCAAGGAAGAGGGGTAATAAGGGAGGGAGGGAAGGGGTGTGTGGAGCCGATCAGCCACCCTAGCGGAGGAATGTCTCTAGGGAGAGTGAAGGTGAATCTTGCAGGCGGTCTACGCGATAGAACAAACGGGTAATATAGGGCATGCGAAAGCTTTCAACAACGCACGAACATAAAGGTTCGATGGTTCGAAGCGAATCTGCAACCTCAATCTCGCGCACCCGTTGTCCACCTCTTGGGCCGGCGTGCTACCCTATCTTGCTTACTTCTTTTTTTCCAATGTACTTCGTCACTCTAGAGGGAAGGCCGTGTCGCCATGGTGCGTGAAATCGCCCATCGCAAGTCCTCTCATCCGTCTACTCCAGAGCAGCCCCTCCTACTTCCTCGTCTGCGAAACGCGTCACCCAGACTCCAAGTATAGGCTCAATCCTGTTATCATCTCAAACACCATGCGCCTCTTTCTCCTCCTTCTCTTTCCTTTTTGACAATCGCTGCTCCTCTACCCATGTCTCAATCTTCGCCTTCAATTCTGGTAACGGCTCCAGATCCGTTAGACTCAACGGCTGACGGTTGAACGGGTCCGTAGGTTGGTTCAACAAATGTTGTTCGATCGCCGCCCGTTCCATCGCGTAGCCGGATGTGGGCAGCCGCACGGGGTCTTTCATCAACGTGCAGAGCAAGGGGTCCAGAAATTCGTCCGGCACCTCCACGCCCAAATCCTCCGCCTCTGCCTTTTCGGCCGCCGAGGCCACGGCGGTTTCCAGGGCCGTGCATGCCTCAAGCTGCGTCTCGCTCATGCCCCCCACCCGTTTCATGGTCTGCTGGACTTTGCCAAGCATCCCTTCGTGGTAGTAGCCCGACTCGGAGAGGGCGGTGTGGAAGGCAGGCTCCCCGGCGAAATGGAGGATGGTCAGGGCCACCTCCCGGAGCATCTCCTTGGGTTTGAAATTCAAAGCGTCGGGGTTTTCCACCTTGATCTCCAACCCTTTCGTCCCCACCAGCTTGTCTACGATCGAAAGCAGGGTGTTGGCCAGGCGGGGGGAGAGGGCGGGAGCGAGGAAGGGCTTGCGGACTGCCTCGTCACTGGTCAGGTACATGAGCATGTGGATGGTCTCGTTGCAGAGGAGCAAGGAGGACGAGACACTGCGCTCGTTGTCGTTGTGCCGCTCCATGATTTCGTTCCGACTCTCTTCCGGCATGGCGGCCCACGCCGGGCTGTCTTTCATCTGGAGCTGAACGGATCGGATCTCGGGGAGTTTCTCCATCACGGAGGCAACCAGAGCGTTGGTTTCGTTCATCAAGCCGTTGGCGAAGGAGGTGAATTGAGAGGTGTCGGAGGAGATCCTTCGGAAGGTCCGCCGGTGTTCGGGAGATCTCCAGAGGAACTTCAAGACGGCAGCGATGTGGAAGCGATGCTCGAGCTTGTCATAGAAGCCCGTGTGCTCCACGTCCCCATAAAGGAGGAGGAGGGCGGGCGCGAGGGATGCCTGGGCCAAGGGGTTGTTGAGGAGGAAGGAGGTGTAGACGCTGTGGCCTCGGGTGGCGGCGGCGGAGGTGCTCGAGTGGTCGAGCCGCTCCTCGGGGGGGAGGAAGACCAAGTAGAGCAAATCGCCGATTTTGGCGCGCAAATGGGGGGAGTGCACGAGCTGGGGCCGGGTCAACGCCTGGATGCACAAATCAAAAAAAGGCGCCAGCGGCGCCGTCAGGAGGCTCTGCGGGTGCGCCCGTCCCACGAATTTGACCAGGACGAGGAGGTCCTCCAAGAGATGCTCCGGGCATCGGCTGCAAAAGGCCAAGGCTGCGGCCAGATCGGGCGTGGCTGCGGCGTCGAAAGCCTGGGAGGAGAACCAGGCGGCGGCCCCGCCCACGAAGACCATGGCCTTGTCGAGGAGGTCGGGCTCCAAAAGGGAAATTTCCTGGGGGGAAGGGAAAGGGAAAGCGGGGGAAGGAAAGAGAATCCGTGTCATCCATCTCATCCATTGACCCCGCCCCCGCCGCCCGCCTTATGGTCACTGCCCTCGCACCTGTGCAAAGTAGCGCTGCAGCACCATATTAAACCGTTCCTCCGCCCCCTCCACCCCTGCCTCCATCTGTCGCCGCAAGTGCCCCAACCAGCGCTCCTCGGACATATGTTTCCCCACACAAGCCACGAGCCCCAGGTGCAGCGCCCGCCCGGTCAGGAAGAAACATTGCGTCAAGAAATTGTACTCACCCCCGCCCCCTCCCTCCTTCGCCCCCTCTCCCTCGGGCCCGGGGTTCAACCGCGTCAGGTCCTCCGGGTAGGCGCCTGCGTTCCCTGCCAGGTCCCGCACGAAGCCGTCGTCGATCCCCGCCCGCTTTTTCTCCTCCCCCACAAAGTTCCCCGCCATCCCCAGGAGGACTGCGCCCACGTTGACGAGGAAGGTGTCCGAGGACTTGATCCCCTCGTTCGGCCGACTTTTCTCCGCCTCAAGGTTCAGGGCCAGGGCCTGGGCGATCCAGAGCACCGTCTGGCTCCGGCAGGGGCCTCCGGCTTTCAAGAGGGCGGTCACCAGGTCTGTCAGGGCGGCCTGATGGGCCCTCAATTGCTGCCGCAAGCCGTTTAATTTCCCCGTCACCTCCGCCTTGCTCCGCCGCTGCAAGTTCTCGAACTGGTTGTAGACCTCCGGGTCGGTGGCGGGGAAGCCCAGGCGGAAAAGGACCCCCAGGGTGGTGAAGGATTCGTGGGCGCGACCGTTTCGCTGGAGGCGGACGGGCCCCTGCAGGAGGGGCATGCGCGGGTTGTAGGCGGGCATGGGCACCCCGGCGGCGGGGAGGAGGAAGTTGGCGACCCCTTGGACGAGGGCGAGGGGGAGGGCCTTGTGGAGCTTGAGGAGGAGGAGAAGGGCAAGGGCGTGGGGCCCGGCGCCCGGGTCGCTGAGGCGGGCGGCGCGGGTGAGGGGAATCAGGAGGTCGGAGAGGACGGGGGCAAAGACACGCGGAATCTCCGCCTCCTCCATGCGTGCCAGCACCTGCCTGAGGAAGGGGAGGGGCAGGACGAGGGCGGCGGGGTCTTGGGCCATGGTCACCAGGCCGCGCACCAGCTGCGCCTTCACCTCCTCGGAGGAAAGGCCGAACACGTCCGGCTCCGAAACGGCTGTGACGCTGAAATTCAGCACCTCTTCCCGCACCTCTTTCAAGGCTTCCTCCGTCACCCCCGGCCGCCGGGAGCGGCTCTCCTCCTCCAGACGCGCGTAGCTCGCAGCCAGGTACATAAACCCCCCCAGTGACGCCCCCGAGCCTTCCCCTCCCACCCCATCCGAATGGGCGCTCAACCGGGTGCAAATGACTTCCGAGACCGAGGCCAGGGTAAAGAGGGCGACGCCCCCCTCTGCCTCCACCTCCGTGGGAAGGGCCACGTGGACGAGGCCGCCCCCCTGAGGGTCCCCCAGGTCGGCCGTCACCTGCAGCACGCGTTGGATCAGGCGGTGGGTACCCAGGTCCGAGGCCTTCATCTTGGCCACCGGCGGCGCAGGGACGGGAGGAGGGGCGTCTTGCTGGCTGTGGCTGGGGGTGGCCATCTCCATGGCGGGGGGGTCGGTTCGGCTTTCGACTTGGGCGCTCCTGGGCATGGGCCGGGGACAGGGGGGGGGG